GGAATGCGCGTGTGCGGAGCCCCGGCCGTGCCTGGCAGCTCGCGCTCTCTGGGCTGCCGCGTTTTTTAAAAAATTCGCTGGTAATTGGACAGCGAGGGAAGATTTTTGTATTTATTGTGTGCTCTGTTACCTTTTTAGGCACCCGGACAGTTACTTCTGAAGTAACATGTAAGACACTTCTAGCAAATAATTATAGCAACATTTTCCGGTTATTATAAGTGGCAATTCCTGAAGCTTCCTTGTGCTTCATGAATGCATACAAAACTGTCTTTCTAAAAAAAGACTATTTGTGCAGAGTTATTTTAATTTAGGTAATGTGTGAAGAGGTAGTAAAATGTATGTTAACATTTGTAAATTCACATTTGGAAAACCTTATGGTTGGACTAAACACTTCTAAGATCACCAAGTCCAATCATTCACTCAAGGAAAAGAAACAAAAAGCCAAACTACAACTAAAAGCACTATTTCCTTTTCTGTATTTCTTTCTCTTTTTCTATTTACCTTATTTGGGTATCTATAAAAGTATCTTTGGAAATAGCATTCACATATATTTAATGATGTTTTAATATTCAATATTATTTTAGTCATATGCATGAGTACCTATGGAGTATAGTATGTGGACTTGCTCTGGAAGTGCTGAGGATGAAGACCTGCTTGCAAATTTAGAGTCATTGTGGAATCAGCTGAAGAGAACTGAAAAAAACCTACAAACTGTAGAGGAAGAGCTTTCCAGGTATGAGTGTGTTTGGGAATAGCAACAACCTATCTCTTGTAGAGTACATCTGTCTTATTCAGTGTCAATCTATTGATTGTTCCAGGTAGCTCCTTCTGTACTTGTCTTTTGACTAGTCGTTATGAGCAATTTGAAAATAATAACAAAAAAATGGTGCAGCAGCTTTTCACTCTCCTTCCTAGCACTACTGCAAGTGAACATCACGGCCGCTGCTTCGATGAGGCTGCAGATTTCACTCTGGAGGACCTTGCTCAGCCTGATTGCAACTGTCTGGGCTTTTCCAGCTGCAAGAAGAATGCTGATAAAACATCTGGCCAGGATTTTCAAGGACAATCTGAAGTAAATATTGCACTTTATTACTTATTTTTATGACTGGTTTTCTCGTGTGTTCTGTGTTTGAGTATTTTTTTCGTTGTAGAGCTTGGAGTTGGTAGGCTCTAGCATGGGGCAGTTATGTCAGTGGACCAGTCTTAAACATAATATCATTTAAATATTTTTGTTTTACAGAGTTTTAATTGATGTACAGATTGCTTATATATGCAAATATAAGTATGTGTGTGTGCATATAAATTTAAAACTTTTTTAATGTCTAGTCTTACCCAGTTTTCACAACTTCTGATAAAACTGTGGAAGAAAATGAACATCTTAAGGAGAAGCTGAATGCCCTTCATGAGCAAAATGTATCTTTGACTTCTCAGAACAACTACCTAAAGAACAGAGTGGAAACAATGAACTTTGAACTGATGGAGTCAAAAACAAGAGTATGTATTGTTAGTGTATTAATCAAAAAGAAAAACCCCAAACTCGAAAAAACACTCGAGTCTTAACCTAAATTTAATATTTAAATGTCAATATTTTTTATAATCAGCATTTATCTTGTAACAGCATAGTTGGGAATCTATTTCTTCATGAGAAAAACTACTGCATTAATTATTAATTATATCTGTTAATGTTCCAAAGTTTAATCTAAAGCCAGTAATGGGGAACACATTATGAAAGAAGATAGTTCAAGAAGGTATTTAGTATTGTTTGTTCGTGTGACTGAGCTACATTAAGATAAATTTGAATTAATTTTAAGTAGTTATGTGCCTTGGAAATGAAAAATGTTGACCTTTCAGGTTGGAATAATACTTCTATTTTGAAAAAGTGAAGAAATACTGTCTTTAATAAATCATTGCTGATTTAATACATACTCACATGTACAGTTTTTTTCAGAACTGTATTCTTTGATTTATACATAATGGCTATAAATGCTGAGTGCTTTTTGTTTGAGAAGTGTTGCTTCTAAGGCAGTACAAATCAGCAGATAAACAAAATGTTTGACTGTCTGGTGTGGAAAGAACAAACAGTGGAATACAAACTTTGGGAAGAGCAAGAGACAAACATTAAAAAAATGAGTCTGCTAGGCAGCTTGTCACACTGTAGTGATGCTGAGGAACTGGAAGGATGTTAAAGGAGCAGAAGATTGGAGGTCAGTTTGTGTAGATGAACAAGCATCTTCCACAGTAAGGTTAAGAGCACTGTGTCTTTCAGTAAGCAGATTGTTCATACGTGTCTCACCTGAAGACATATACAGCAGTGTCAATGAACCCCCAAATATGTTTGTATTTCAGATTTCTTATCTTGAAACGACTTTAGGTACACGTCTAGTCAAGATTCCGAAGCTGAGAGAACAAATTATAAACTTGGAAGCGGAAGTATCAGCTCAAGATAAAGTTCTGAGGTAATAAATGTACTTTAAAAGTCAGTGTTTTATTGTGGCCTGCTTGCTATCTCTTTTCTGGGATGACATAATTACTGGTATTGTGTGGGTTGTGTAAAATTTATTTCAGAGCTGTGTATAGGAGGAGGGAAGTGTTTGATTTTGTCCTGAATGTACTTCAAGAAATGAAAAGTAATAAGGGCTGGCAAATGAAACTAGTTTATAATGTATGGTAAACATGAATGTGCCCTTAAAACTTTACAAAAACATTCCTATTTTTTTATTATGCTTTTTTATTTGCTAGAGATGCAGAAGATAAACTGGACCAAAGCCGGAGAAGAGGAATGGAAAGAGAAGACATGTTGCGAAGATATAGAAAGGACTATAAAAATCTGAAAATTGAGTTAGTTGAACGAACCAAGCAAGGAAAGAGGTAGCAGAATAATTGTAGCAACTTTTATATGAAATAATGGTGCATAATTTTTCTCATTCTTTTAGTGTTTATTTCCATTGGCAGAGGTTTATGTTGTGGAATCAAATTATTTCTCTGCTTTAGGGATGTTACTTTTTTTTTTGTTTTTGAATGGGGAAATCTGGTGTGGATGTACGTGTGATTTAAATAGGCACTTTTTCAATCTTGAAATTTGCTGGTATTTTTAGGCTGATATATTATACTATGCTAGTAACTGGTTTACTGTCTGTTTTTTCCATTTGGAATAGGTATGCTGTGGTGGAGAGCTGAAATGTGTCCAGAATCTATTTTTTCCTGAATTATTTTTCACTTTGTCTTACAGTAACCTACAGCATATACTCAGTACTCACTATTAACAGTACTGAGTGCTGTATTTTTGGGGCTGGTGTGAGGAAAGTGATAGAAGCACAAGAGACAACTTTTTTGGTAGACTTAATCTTACCTGTCCATATGATATTGAAAAGGGTGCTGTAATTCCATCCCCATTCCCATTTCCTTTTCCTGTTGCCTCCTTTAGCCTAATGGTTGCATGAGTACTGGAAGGGTTAGATAACTGCTTTCAACTGTTGCAAGTTATGATATACAATCCTATTACCTCCAAAATGCAATAAAGAAATAAGAAGAATAAATAAAAGGATTCTTACCTGCCCATTTTATTAAACTGCATTACCTGGGGCAAAAATTAACTGCATTACTGACTTGGGGAAGCAATTCTTGAGCCTTTTGAGTATGAACCCCTTGTTTGGCTTGTCTATCTATCCATGAAATTACCTCTAATCTTTCTATAGCTAGACAAATGCAAATACTGTGGGGCTTGCACTACTGTGAAGAAATGTGTTGATTTATGTTTACTGTTCATTCAGAGCATGTGGGATTGGAGCTAGCTGTACTCAGCTTCTAGTTGCAAATAGAAGTATTTTGGTAGTTTAGAAAAACTGACTGCTGCCAGGTTTTCAAGGCAACATACAGTGTTATGGTTAGTATTAACAATTACTACAGTTTGCTTTTCATCATTAATTACAACCACTTATTATTCTTTGGCTAAGCGAGCTGAAGTGCTTTAGATACACAGGCTTTTGTTTGTTGTCCTTAAATCCCTTTCTCCCTTTCTCTGAATACTTTTGCCACCTCCAAGTGGGGCAGTGGTCCTCCAGCTGAGCAACACTGCTGTGAGGGCAAACTGTACTTAGATGAGGGAACTGTCCTACAGTTCCCGTAGTGGAAGAGAAACAAATGGTATCGAGCAGTAATAATTCTCATGTGCCTGTGTTGGGTGTCCTGAAGAGACTGCATACCTGAGCTGTCCTGAGGTTCCTGTTTCAACTTCTTCCGTAGTGAGTAATGACAGGGGAAAGGCAGAGGCAGAGGGTAATAGAGTGAAAATAGCAGGCAGGCTGGGTTGCTGCTTTGAACAGTTGCCCACTTGATATCATCCCAATCTCAGACTTTCAAACATCCTTTGATGCCATCTCTCCAGTATCCTCCAAATCATTTCTCTTTTAATTAAGTCTTGGTCTCACCATGATTCCATCACAAGGGTTCCTTTCAGTATCAACAGATTTTTTGGTTCCTCTTAAGCAGTTTGAATTTTAAGGAATACTGCTGTCATCTGCTTCCTAACCCAGTCCTTAAAAGAGGCTTTTACTGGTAGGGACAGGAGAATTACTTGAATCAAACTTTTTTTGAAGTGGATTAAAAATATTTTTAAATTCTTCATCTTGTTGAAATTTTATTTGTGTTAATATGCAAAAATTATATTTAAAAATAATTTATGCCTAATGTGAAACTTTTTTTATAGAGGGCTTGGAAAGTTGGAAGAAGACAAGAAGTTACCTGCAGCAATTAATTTAGAAGTTGTTTTATATAACTGGAGGGAGTAGTTACATAACCCCCTGGAATTTGTGATTTTTGCAGGGTAGAACAGCAAAGAAATGAAGCTTTGTTGAACATGGAGGATCTAACAAGAGCTTTCAAAAAGTATAAAGAGAAAACAACTGAAAAATTGGAGAAGGTAAGAGTTCTTTCTATACTTGTTTTTGCTCTGCTAGGAATCCCTAGAGGATTTTTCCTCTTCCAGCAGGCTAGGGAGCAAACAACAATGGGTTCACCAGTGAGCCAATTGTTTGTGCTTTTTGATGGCAAAGTCCTAAGAGATGTGGAATCTGAGTAGACAGCTGTTTGTAGTGATAATTTCATTTGTCCAGTCTTAAACTGTCTTTGCACAGTGCATCTTTGAGGTAGCCTAGTATTGCTGCTATTTCTTCTGACTTTTGCTTGCCAGCTGGGAATTTTACATTTTTAAAGTATATGGTCCTTTTAAAAGAACTCTTTTGAGTTCCTCTGTACAACCTGTTCAATGAAACATGAGCTAGAGAAGGGCTAAGATGAAAATGAAGTCCTCTTGCAAACTCCAGTGGTCAAAATTGTTAATGTTTCCTGCCTTGTGGGAGGAAAAATACAGTCCTGAGACAGTTGGCTTTCACAGATAATTTTTATTTTATTAAACTTCTTTGCTTTTGGAAGGGATTGCCAACCACAAATATTAAACCAAAATAACATCACTCTTTTTCCAAGTGACAGAAAAAAAGAAAACTTTCCTTTTCTTTACAACAGTGAGCAATTGAATTATCTGCGGGGTTACCAGAAAGAAAGAAAGAAAGAAAGAAAGAAACAGCATAGTGTTTATAGTATTATTTTTTAAAAACCTGTTGGCCATGGGAATTTAGATTATTGTTGTACAGTAACAAAAAAAATACTGCTTTTTAAGGTTAAAGCTGAAGAAGTAGTCTTGGGAAAACGATTAACTGATTGTGAAAGAGAAAAAGAGAAGCTAAATGAAAAGTGTGTCAGCTACAGAAAAGATCTAGACATCCTAGAAGAGCAATTAAGGTAACACAAAGCTTTAAAAAAATCTCTGTACAGAAAGAAAGAAAGAAAGAAAGAAAGAAAGAAAAAGACAGCATAGTGTTTATAGTATTATTTTTTAAAAACCTGTTGGCCATGGGAATTTAGATTATTGTTGTACAGTAACAAAAAAAATACTGCTTTTTAAGGTTAAAGCTGAAGAAGTAGTCTTGGGAAAACGATTAACTGATTGTGAAAGAGAAAAAGAGAAGCTAAATGAAAAGTGTGTCAGCTACAGAAAAGATCTAGACATCCTAGAAGAGCAATTAAGGTAACACAAAGCTTTAAAAAAATCTCTGTACAGTTACAAGTGTACTCTTCCCTGGGTAAAAAACTGGCTGGACACCTGAGCCCAGAGAGTTGTGGTAAACAGTAAAATCTACTTGGTGGCCAGTCACCAGTAGTGTCCCTTAGGACTCAGTTTTGGTGCCAGTTTTCTTCAGTGTCTTTTATCAGTGGTCTGGATGAGGGGATTGAGTGCATCCCTCAGTAAGCTTGCACCAAACTGGGTGGGAGTCTTGATCTGCTAGAGGCTAGGAAGGCTCTACAGAGGCACCTGAATAGGCTGGATTGATGGGCCAATTTTATGAGTTGTATGAGGTTCAATAAGGCCAAGGGCCAGGTCCTGCATTTCGATCACAACAACCTCAGGCAGCACTACAGGCTTGGGGAAGAGTGGCTGGAAAGCTGCCCAGTGGAGAAGGAGCTGTGGGTGCTGGTTGACTGCCATCTTAATGTGAGCCAGCGTTGTGTCCAGGTGACCAAGAAGGCCAAGAACCATCCTGGCCTGCATCAGGAATAGCATGGCCAGCAGGATTAGGGAGGTGATTGTGCCCCTATACTCAGTGCTAGTGAGGCTGCACCTCAAGTACTGTGTGCAGTTCTGGGCCTCTCGCTACAAGAAGGACATTGAGGTGCTGGAGTGTGTCCAGAGGAGAGCTACCAATGTCATGAAGGGTCTAGAGTCATACGAGGAGTGGCTGAGGGAACTGGGGATGTTTAGTTTTGAGAAGAGAAGGTGGTGGAGGGGAGACCTGATCACCCTCTACAACTGAAGGGAGGTTGTAGGAAGGTAGGTGTTGGCCTCTTCTCCCAAGTAAATAATGACAGGACCAGAGGACATGGCCTGAAGCTGTGGCAGGGGAGGTTTAGTCTGGTATTAGGAAGAATTTCTATACTGAAAGTGTGGTCAGGCACTGGAACAGCCTGCCCAGGGAGGTGGTTGAGTCACCCTCCTTGGAGATACTCAAGAAATGTGTAGATGTGGCACTTCAGGGCATTCTCCAGTGGCCAAGGTTGTATAGTTTTTTTGTGAGTGTGGGGTTTTGGTTTGTTTTTTTGTGTTGATGGTTGGACTCGGTGATCTCAGAGTTTCCAGCCGTGACAATTCCGTGATTCTGTTATTTGAGAAGAAATTGGATGTTACAACTGTCACTGTGAACATGCTGCTCAGTTCACATAGTTAAAGCAAGTCAGGACCAGCATCTGCAAACACTTAATATCAGTATCAGAAATACAACAGAGAAACCATAATACCTAACAGATAAAAATTACTAGCATTTGCTTAGAATATTCTGATTTTTTTTCCATAACTAATCCTCAGAGGTTCTAATCTCACATGCTGCCGCATATTCACGCTATCAAGCAACTCCTCACCAATTCTAGATTTTGAGAGGGAGAAAACTAGTAAAAGAGTATAGTTATGGTGTGTTCTGCTAATATTTTCCATAATGAAAATCCTCTCAGTTGAGCTATACCTTTTAAATGCATCTACTTTTTTAGGCAATTAAAGGAAGAGAATCGTAGCACAAAAGAAGAAATTAAGACTCTGGAGGCAAAGAACACTGAAACGGTATCAATGCTGGCTCGGTCTGATCAGAAAATCATTGAGCTTGAGAGTGAAATTGCTGAAAAAGAAATAGTACTTAAAGAAAAAAGTGCTCTAATAAGTGAAAATGCAGAGCTGAGAGCACTTAATGCACAGCAACATAACCACTTGAAATTGTGCCAGCAAGAAATTGAAGATTCAAAGGAAGAGCTTAACATATTAGAAACCATTATTTCACAGTTGTCTCAAAGTACATCTGCAGAGGTACAGTCACTGATACATCCTTAAAATTGTATTATGTGTCTCTGTGTAAAGAATTCTAACTGACATTGCGTGGAAAACCTGTGATGTTCTAGAGAAGTAATTTTCTTAAAATATCTGGTTTTCAAGATGCTTGGATTACATGTTTTCTTGATTTAAATATTGTCTCTTCTCATTCAAGAACAAGTAAAATGTGCTTTGTAATTGATTAATCAGCAACCTCTTTGCGTTCCTCTGTTCTACATATTGATTCTTCAGATGTATGTATATTCTCTAAAATATGATGATGTCTTATTATATGACACAGAGGTTCTTTTCAGTAGAACAGTGTAACATGCACAATCATTGTATCACACAGCCAGACTTGATGTGTCAACTGCAGCAACGGAGGAATGAGAGGACTGATGTTTGTAGGAACTTTTTTTTTTTGCTGGGAAAGAGGAAACCCATCTTCCCTGGCTGCGAATGAACTTCTGTACTACCAGGATGAGCCCTGGCTTATGAGCTTTAAGCTTGTACTGTTGTAGTGTATAACTAAACTGTGGCTGGGAGAGTCACTTAAAAACCCAGAGATGTGAACTGTTACTGGAGGAATTGTTTGGGAAGTTGGGAAGGCCTAGAGAGACACATGAAATCAGGAGTGCAGATTGCATCAGATATCTTTATTTTATATAACTGTGAGTAGCTGTAATGAAAACAAAAATCAAAAGTGTGCTTTCTGTAAGGTTTTTGAATTGCTGAAGTGACCTCTGCTGAAGAGAATGTAGTAGTTTTGTACAAAAATTGTGTTTTGGGCTGTTGTGACCTTAGGCATATATTTGGAAGAGCCTTAACAATTGCTTTAGGGCCCTTTTTTGAAAATGCATTTACACTTTCTGGAAAAATCTGGCATTATTCTAGTAATTTAATGAAATATTCAGAAGTACTGGATAACCTGAGGAAAAAAATGGTATTAAATGCAGTAATTGACGTCTGAAAGGAAGCACAATGTGAGAAGTTTGAAACATGGACTTACTAATAGTATCTTCATTTATTTTATTTATTTTTTCACAGCAAAAAATGTTCATGTTTCATTATCTGTAGAAAGATATTTAAAGAAATGGTCTCAGTTTCAGGGTCTTAATGCCTAGAATTTCTACTTATGTGAGACAAACCTGCTGTGCTCTGCAAGCACTTGCTTGCAAGTAGAAAATTTTAATCAAGTTATGCAAATTTTTAATATACTACTGTATGTGTCTTAAAATTTATATGCTAGCATAACATATGACTTAATCATGCTGTGCAGCAATAAAAAAGTCGATTTTGCATTGATCTTGGTTTTCCCTTAACTTTTAGTTTAAATGGCACCATGTGAAACACCAACTATCCAGCTCCTCAATGAAAGAAGCTCTCTTTGAATCTTGTTGTGAATCAAATAAACCTTTGACTGCAGACCTAAGGTATAACTTCCTGGTTACTGAAGTATGGCAAGAACAGGCAGATAATAAGGTGGTATTATAACTAGTATGTAGAAAGAATGTTAAATAATTGTCTCCTCCTTTCTAATAGCATTAAACTGGCAATGAAAGAAGCAGAAGTTCTAAAGCCTCATGCAAACATAACTACTTGTACTGGAGCTGAGCACTTTTGTGAAATTAATGAAGGACAAGAAAATATCAGGTCATGTGGTCTGGAAACAGAGCCTGTCAAATTGATCAGAAGTCAAGGAGGTAAGCTTACTGAAATAGCTGTGCAGTTCTTGTGGTTTAAGTGTTTTTTAAATAGATTTCTGTGACCTAACTAACATGCTTTGGTTGAACAGGGAGCATTTTCCCACTTTGGAATTCTGGAAATTGTCATGTTCTCCAAGCGCAATGTTCTTCCTTTTGCTAGTTAAGTTACTTGTTCAGCATTATCTAAGCTATGAGTTGTGTTGAAACAGAACTATATCTTTTTTCTTTATGCAGGTTATGCTATGTTCTCCATATTTTCTTTGATTCTTTTCTTGCTGTTGCTTGCTGTTGCAGAGTTTCTGCAACTGCTTCTGTGATTGCTATTAGGATTGCTCTGAAATTAATTCAGGATACCTTTATAATGATGCTATTTTTTGTTGTTGTTAGTTTATTTGTTGGGGGGTTTTGTTTGGGTTGTTTGTTTTCATGGGTCACAGCTTTCAGTTACATTATGGGGAAAAAATTAACAGTCTTGTTTCTCTATCCTGTTTATGTTATTTCAATGTGTTGTCATTGAATTATATATTTCCTCTCTTTGGTTTGTATGATCAATTGCTTGAGTGCTAGTTTGTATGTTCTTTTATAAGTTGATCCAAAATTTATTTCTTCTACTTTGAGAGAGGAGAAAATGTCAACAGATGGAACTTATCAGCAAACAATTTGAAAAGGAGAGGCAAAGATTCCAGAAAGAGATAGAAGAGTTACGCACTAAACTGACAGAAGCAGATGATGAGAATTCTACTTTGAAGACCAGTATGGCTCAGAGAGCCAGTCAGTTTCAAATCATACAGGAAGACCTATTGAAGAAGGTTTCAAACACTAGTAGCTTAGAGAGAGAAGTAAGTTTTTAGCAGCACTGCAAAAATGTCACTTTTTTTTTTTGTTTTAAGCAAAGATAGTTAAATTATGGAAAAACTGCAATGCCGTATTAGTTAAAAAATCTGGCTTATTTAAGAAAAATTGGAAGTAAACTTTTGATCAAGAAAAAAACTTAAATGTAGGAGCCTTAATTTGTTAGTTGTCAGAAATCTAATTTTAAAGCTGATGTAGTTAGTGGGCTTTACTATTACTATTTTGATTTGTTGTGTGGAAAATATGCAAGTCATTTTGCTTTGGTATCATTGAGTTAATGTGTACTCTTAAGAAATTATGTTGAAGGATCAGTTGCATTTTTCCTCATAAGATGTTCCTACAATTGCTAGAGATTAACAGTTACCAAAAAATCACATAAGTACAAAACTAAGCTTAAGCTAGCTCTTCTCTGGTTGAATAAGTTAAAATGTTAAGTTTTCTTTCTAGTACTAATGTGTTTATAGAATTCCAGCATAATGGGATTAACAGCATTTCCTAATAATGGCCATAAATGTTATAAATCTGTAATAGCTAATTCACTCATATGGCACTGATAATAATAATGAATTGGATTAATTTGAGGTAAATTGTCCTGAATTCTTCTTTGTAAGTAGTAAAGTTTAATAGATCATAGAAAAATAAACAAGCAAACAAATAATTAAAAATACTGGAAATAGTAGTAGCTAAAATGGAATTTCTGGTTACAAAGTATATACACATAGTTGGAACAAATTGGTAATGGTTGTCTTCGTGCTGTTTTGTGCCATATTTAATCTCAGGTAACACAGAAATCTTCTCAAATTTCCACACTTGAGAAACAGTTGAAGGAAAAGACTACTGCTTTTTCTGCTGCCACAGCAAGAAACACTGAGTTGGAACAGGAACTCATGGTAAGATGTTCTCACTGAAAAACTACATTTATGTAAAAGGACATAAATGGAGAATAATTTTAAGTTAAAACAGTATTAATCCATGTGTTCAAAATGATAGACTTTCAGATCTGTTAAACAATCTGTGCAAGTTTTAGACAGTGGAGCTTTTAAAAACTGAATCTTACTTCAAATAAACCATCCTTTCTTTTCTGCTTTTGAACATGGTAACTTATTTATGGACAAGTTACTTTTTCTTTGTGATATATCTGCAGTTAAAATCACATTAAATTAAAATTGAAATTAGTTGTAGCATTGCCATTTGTTTCAGTGAAATATACTTGGATCACTGAATAAAAATATCTTCTAAATGGTAATTAGTGAAGAAAGTAATGTACCACTTGGAGCACTGTAAATTCCTCTCAGAATATTGTTATGCAAACTTTTTAAGTTTTGGGAAGAGGCCTAAGGTTGCTAGAAAAGGAATCTATGTGATCCCTTTCAAATAGAAACCTATGTTTTAAAGATTTTGGCTATCCTTACGAACATAGAATTTCTTTTTGTCTTGGTCAGAAGTTCCTTGCTCTAGTTGCTGTAGTCTGTGCCAGCTGTCCACCTTGGCAGATGCCTTGTCTCTGTGTAGTGGCTGCACTTAGTTGTATTCGATACCTGTGTTACAGGTGTGACACCCTTTAAGATGAAACAGGATTTTCTGTGGTGCTCTTTTATGACTTTTAGGCATGAAGTCAGTCATCAAAAATACACTGTTTAACATCACAGCTGAATATTTTTATTAAGTCCTCTTTGTTGTTGCTGTTTCCCAGGGAAAAAATAGACTCATTCATGAGCTGCAAACAACTCTCAGTGAAGAACATGAGCAATTAACTTCTGCTTTTGAAAAATCAAAGTTGGTTCACTTTGAGCAGCAGAAAGAGATGGAGAAACAGATTGAACTAGTAAGACCTTCTTTGTATGATACTATGTATGAGTGATACACTTGGGAACTTTTTTACTAAGTTTATTTATTTTTAGTAATTCTGAGGCAAATGTCCAATTTAACAGTTATATATTCCTCCTGTATTTCCTGATTCTAGATCATTGTCCATCTACTATGACACTATTTCATGACTTCTGCTATTCATATCCTCTTTTCTGCTCAACTAAAGAGAAATAGAGACTTAGGAGGAATACACTTGTTCTTTCCTCTGAACACCTACAAAAAAAAAAGTATAGTTTTTTTTGCATAGAGGGGTTTAAACCGTGTTAACTTGTAACAATATTCTCTCCTTTGCTGAACCTTGATCAGCCTGAGACTTAAAAGCTTCTGTGTTCAGGGAGATCTGTTGGTAGGTTTTTCAGTCTTTAGAAGAGAATTCTGTTGCTTCATGTGATCAGAAATATAACTATATATTATATAGCTATCTCTAGCTGTTCAAGCAGCTTGTAAGCTTTTATTAATGAATATATGCATCTTATTGTCTTGACTGATGACAATTACATTCTTCCTGCTCTTATTCTCTTGATTCTCCTGTTACTTTAAAAATACTAAGTGTTTGGAATTTCTTGATATTTTTAGTACCGTGCAGTATTGCTGATGGCAGGAATGTATTATGTTTCATTCTTGAAGTGATGGAATGAAAAAGGATGCACTGAATGACATTTAGATGCACAAATTCTCTGAAAAAGCTTATTGAAATAATAAAACATTAATTACTTATGAACAGCTTGAGACTCAGCTGGAGAAGCAGCATCAAAAATGCACTGAACAAGAGAAAATAATATCTATTTTGCAACAAGATATTATACATAAACAGCATCACATTGAATCATTGGATGAGCTGCTGATAGAAAGCAGAGAGGTAAGGTTTCCTCTTGACTTTACATGCAAAGCAAACAAGTTACTGATAATGATGAAAAACATTCCATAAACCTAAGAAAAAAAAGGAGAAAATGAAAGATAAATGTTTTTGCCTCTTGATTCTTGTTTGAGTAATTGACTGGATCTAGTGTAGTCCCTAGCATCTACTACTATGTGTTGTACAAACTTAATTACCTTGTTTCTTTTTCTATCTCAACATTCTCTTTATGCCTCTGGTTTGCCCCTTGGGCTTCTTGCTCTGAACAAAGCAGAGAACAATTGCATCTATTCTGCACTAGGTGGAAAACTTAAGAAAATTCTATTATGGCAATTTTATTTTTTTTTAATCTTAAGGGAACCAAATTCACTTCAGAGTACGATGAAAACAAATACAGTATGCAAGCAGTTTTGTTTTAAATACACTTTTTTTGGTTTTAATTGTGAGTTTTTATTAGTTAAATTACTGTGAATATATTTACATTTTGTTCTCAAATAAAAATGTGTATAAACAGGAAATCGAAAATGAAAATGTCAAGAAACATCAAGGATTGAAGATGCTGAAAAGTCAGTTAACAGCAGAAACAAACAAAGTTAGTAAGTTGTTGGTAATTTTCAATTAATGATTTTAAAGTTTGCAGTAATGGTGTACGTATTTCTATCCTTTATAGAAAAATCAGATTAAGGCTGCTTTATGGAAATTTTTCTCACATAAGTATTTCATAATTCATTAACCATTCAAGACCCATTATCACTTCTCTTCGAAAAACTCATGATTTGGATGGGGAGAGAGGTGTATAATCTGATGCGGTTTAGAAAACTGGTAGCATTGAAAGCATGTGCCAACCTGCAGCTAAGGTCAGCACAGTTCCTGTTGATGAGAAAGCTATTTTTACTATTGAAATCAAACAGCTAAGAGAAGTTTAATTACTATGGCTTAAGACCTCTGGTGGCTGGTTCATGATATTTTTTATCTGTTCAGACTTAGAAGGTATTTGTTAGAGATGACTGAAATCCAAATCAATAGTAAAAGGGTAAAACACATCAACAGTGCTGTCATCACTAAAAGCTTTTACTTTCCTTTTTTGGTAGAACTTGGGCACTGTCTCTGAAAATGCTGTTTAGTAGCTTTCTAAGAGGAAATGTATTAAGATCTGAATATTATTTTTTAAAAAGACTTCTCACATCTCACATATGATAATTCCAGTTTTATTTATACGATTCTATATGTAATAAAACATGGTGGATTGTGATTTAGTATTGGGCATATGTTTGCTTTTAAATTAGAGCTATAGATGAATACTGGAGTACATTCCCGTGACTGATAATCTTATCTCATTTAAACACAGTCTGAAGTATCGTAATTTAATTTCCCAAATGATTTTTATTTCTGAATACTATTCCAGTTTTAAAGCTTATAATAATATTCTATACTGGTTTTAATATTCTTTAGATTAAAATGTAGCTTTTAAAACTTATTATACTATTATGTTTAACACTTTTTTAGACTATTTAATAAAAAAAGTCATGCAATTTTGAGTAATCTGCTACATTAAACTAGGTGAGACAACTTGAGTCAGCACTAGATGTATGTAAGAAAGAAGTTGCACTGTATTTGAGTCAATCACAAGAAAATAAGGAGATATTTGAAAATCAGCTCAAAAAAAAGTCTGAAGAGGTAACAGCTTTTTTAAACAACTTTTCTGTATGGTAGAGAATTGTGTTATTAATTATTTAAACTGAAAGTTTTTCTGTGAAGTAAGAGGCAAAATATTTGCAGCAGGTACTCTGTGTATGAAGTAAGTATGGATTTTGTGAGGGCAAAGGGAAAAATAATAACTAAGAAACACTGGATAAGCTTAGGAAAAAGAAGTAGCAAGATAAATGAATTGTTGAAAGAAGTAAAAAAATCAGAATTAAGTGAAAGAAAGCATTATATTGGAAAAAATGGAGAGAGCACTATTGCAATATAAACTTAGATGCACTAAATTGATTTGTATTTCAAGTATCTGAAAGGGGAAGAAGTCCTGGGCATAAGAAGACTTATTCAAGCCCCTGAGTTTTATAATACTTTCCACTATTACATGAAAGCAAAAAATAATTAAGTTGAAATAATATTAGTAAGAATTTTTATTTGTGGGGATGCCTAACCACATGAGCTAATTAGCATAATATACTTTTGATATCATGCTCTACCTGCTGAGAGAGAGACTTTAGTTAGCTGGAGATGACTAAACCCTGTACAGCAGTAATTGGATGGAAGTCTGTGGTCTGTGTTATGCACAAGCCTGTGACATTTACTACTATTTTTCTAAGCCCTAAAATCTGTTGTTGTACTGTATATGAAGAGACTGGGAATGGCCTGAAATTCAAGGGAGCAAGTGAGAACAAAAATCTAACAGGGAAAACAAGGACATTCTGAGAAATAAAGAAGAATGACAGAAAGAAGAGTAATTGAGTAATTTAGTCATGAAAATCTTTGTTCTAAATGCTTTTTAAATATTGACCAGTTTAGGTATTTAGAAAGGAAGAAGTCAAAACCCAGGCTTGCTAAGTTACTTCTTTCCTCACTTTATAAAGTACAACTGAGTGATGAAACTGGGATATGCTATGTACTTCTGAAACTGTGATGGAACTAAATTCAGAGCCAGACATTTTGAGTCATAGGTGTGATTGTGTGCTCATTTAAGAATGAAGAGAAAAACTGATGCAAATAAAAAGTTATTGTAATGCAAAATAAATGTGTTTTCAGGTTTGCTATTTACAGAAAGAAATAAAACTAAAAGATCAGAATATTCAGGACACAAGGGAACAAAATATTCTCTTACAAGAAGCTTTGCATCATCAGCAGCAAATGTTACAGCAAGAAACTATTAGAAATGGAGAGCTGGAAGATAATCAGATGAAACTTGAAAAACAGGTACAGTGTGGTGAGATGTGTCTACCTAAAGGCAGATAATTAAATGCTTTCATATGTTTTTGCAATACTTCTAAAATCTGAATGTTTCTTTGATAGCTGGGTTGCTAGTTATTATTTTAGATACGTTTAGTGGTTTGTTTCATCCTAAACCAGGTTCTGTGCTATCAGAACTCTTGCTAGCATTATACTGGCTAAGTACTTGGAAAATCAAATCCTAGACTGCAAACAAGCAGAAGCGTATTGAAATACAGAAAGTTTAATCTTGTTATATTTACTATAAACTATTTGTCTTTCAAATGTGACTGCAAAGTTCTAGTCTTACATTATATACAGTTTTACACTATAAAGAAAGCCATTGTTACAATCTCACTGCGGGAGTTGGAAGACAGTTGGGAGTTGGATGTGGATTTCTTTTCTATGTCATTTAAAAGTACCAGTTAATTCTAAATACCACTTTAAGCAGGTGTCCAGTTTGGAACAAGAGCTTCAGAAGCAGAAGGCATATGCAGAAGATGAGTTGAGAAAAGTGGAAGAGAAACTCTGCTTAGCTGCTCAGGAAGCAGATGTAAACAGGCAGAAGGTGGATGAACTTAATAGAGCAATCAGGTAGGTTTAGAGTAACAGGTATATCCTGCACGTAGACAGTAAGAAAGGTCACTGTCTGAAATGGTATTCAGCTGTGTAGTCATACAGTTCAGTCTCTGTATGAGCATAGACTGGAAATCAGAAGACAGCTTTCTAACTAGGAGAGGCTTGAGTTTCTGTAATGGTTTTCCCAAGGAATTAATACATGTCCCAGCAATGCATTTAGCCTTAGGATAGCAATTCATAATGCAGTTCAATTGAAACATATATCAAGTTGCTTGTAATTCTAGATAGTAGATTCTAGCAGATCTTGGTAGTCTTAAAGAATGATTTTGATTGCAAGAAAAGCCTAATTTAAATGACTTTGTATTCTTATTTTATTTACAAATGCTTGTTTTAGACTATGTAAGGACATGTATGTTGCTTTTGTTATGACAAGGTTCACTCTGTTCTGGTTGCTTCTTTTATTTAGACAAAATAAATTGGAAATGGATAAGTGTAAGAATGAACTTACTGGTATGGAAAAAGAAGTAGTGCAGTTAAAACAAGATAGTGAAAACAAAGCAATGCAGATAAACCAGTTGGGTATTACTTTGGAAGAAGCACGATCAGAGCTCAATGAAAAGGAGAACAAGGGTAATTTTTCTGTTTTGTTTCTCAGGCTTCCTTTCATTGTGCTATTTCTAGATTAGACATTTTTCTTCTTCCCCATTTAATAATCAAGTACACGAGTCAAAATGTAATTTTTTAAAATGTTTTGGTAGTTTTGTAGTTTTTAAAAAAGACCAGTAACTTTTTTTGAATATAACTTTGCAATTTCTCACTTTTGTGGCATGTATCTTTATCCTAGGTGAGATAAATAAGTTGTTTTCCCTGTAAACTGATAATATGGATTTGTAATGTGGTAATCAAACAAGACACAGATTTTAAAAGGCATATGCTATTCACAAAATATTCACCTCTTTAAAACCCCACAAGAGAGTCTAGGGAAGTAATAAACTTTTCAAGCCCTCGTCCTCCATTCAATTTGAACTTAACTTTTCTTTTAAACCAGAGGCTTACTAGCAATTCTAGTTGCATTTTTTGTAGCACTATATATTCAGTTACTATGTTGTTTCTGTACTTTTTCCTTGGCCAGATGTTTTTAGGTACATCCTTGTATTTCAGGTCAATTGATTAGCAGCTGAATAAAAACAGCAAGAACTTAGGTTCCATGAAAAGGTTGTTGTATAACCTCAGACACCACTGTTTCTTCTAGATTTTCCTAAAAATAGTGATACTGAAAATTGATTATTACCATAAGTGGTAGTAGGCAGCAGTGTTGCATAAAGAACCTGACTTGCTAATGGTTGTGTCTTGTGTTTTGTTCGTAAAATAGTCAATGATTTAGAAGATAAGCTGCTTCAGAGTGAGACTTGCCACAGGGAAGCATTACAGAAAATAGCAGAACTGGAATCTGCATTACAGAATGCCCATGGGGAATTAAAAATTGCTTTAACACAGCTTCAGGAATTGCAAGTTACATTACAGAATGCAGAGTCCTCTCTGGAGGAAAAGGATGTTGCTATCATGGATCTAACAACTGAGCTTAGGTAAGCTGATCTCTTTTCCATTATGAAAACTGAGTGGTGTTAGTTTTTCCTTAGGAATAGCAAGTAGTTTGGATGTTTCTATATAATTAACAGCTCTACATAAATTTTAGGTGGCTTTTGATTGTGAAATAGCTCAATACAGTAATTCCTCAGATTACTTTTAATTTCTAAAAGTAGTGCTGAATTATTTTTTGGGAATTCTGTTTTAAAATCTGCTAAGAGTATTTTCTGAATCCCAAAGCTGTGAAATAATTGTAAAAGGAATTACTTTCTTCTAAAGTGAAATTGTCCAGTTTGCTTTTTGACCATAAATTAATGATACTATCTTCTGTACTATTCTTTTTGAAAAACATGTCCTGATAACTGATTAAGTAACTTGATTAATGAAATTATTGGGAAATCTACACCTGGAATACAGTTAACATAGTTATTCCATTTGGATCTGTTTTTTTGCAATCAATTAGTTGATTCACATTTCAGAGTAATACGGCTTTAGATAAGTAATAAATCTCATTATTTTCAAGCTGGAAACTTGATGCTAAGCAACTGAATGTACATTAAGCAATTAAACATGAGAATTTCAGGTATTGCAAGGGAGAAATTGAAGACAAAAGCGAAGAACTTCGTGCCATGGACCAAGCACTGAAAGAAAGGAACTGGGAACTGAAACAAAGGGCAGCTCAGGTGAGATAACTTTTAAGTATGTTACTGACAATTATTTCTGTTAAGTAGCAAATAACTTAGAAAAGGCCTGCTATGTTTAATTGGCTTTACATACTGTTCCAAACTGTACTGTTGATATAGCCACAGTGTCAACCTCAAAACCAGCTGAAGTCTTTTGGTACCAGGAAAAAAAGGTTGTGCTCCCCCGAGGCACCACAGACAACTCTTTTGTTAGAAGCCTTGTGCAAACTTGTCCTGTAATTCTTCCTTAGTGACAAAGCTACAGGATAACTGTAATCTTGATGTTTGTTAAAATGAAAGAAATATCTGCACTGAAGTGTGCTTGGAGATTATAGATTCCTTCCCTTGTTTGCTCTTTAGCATATTGGATTAGCTCTAAAGCAGCCTCTAAATATGAAACAGTGTCTCTGTTGTGACTTAAATTTTTGTAGCTCACTTGAAATATTTTCAGTCTTTTGGTCTGGATTCAGGATTTGATACCTGTCAAGCAAAAACTATTCTTTTGTCACTTACAGTTAGCCTTCTATTAGCTACTTCCTGCAGGAGTTACCAGCCTTTGTGTATCAAAGAATATTTGAGGTTCAGAAAGAAAGAGGGGTGTGGACTGAAAAAAACCACAACTGAAAAAAACATCTGTTCAAAGAAGTGACACTGCAAGAAGGCCAGACCTTCTGATATGTTCTTGCTGCACTTTCCTGTGAGCTGTTCTGGGAAGTCATCAAGCAATAGGATTATTTTTTTTTTGCCTTAGCAAAATTTGACACTTTTAAATAAGATGGATTAGTATAATAAGGTGCTCATTACATTCTGTTTAAAATGAGAATTAGATTTCTGTTCTGTGTTTGTGAGGACCATATACAGTTACGGACTTTTTCCCAATTTTTGACTTTTCTCTTTATGCTTGCCCCATGTTTTTTAAGTAAGAGAATATTCTTGAGACTACAAAGAATTAGTTGAATTCCTTTGTGATATTGTGTAATATTACTTCTTAAAATCTGCATACTTGTTCCAAATAAAATACTTCCTTTTCTTTTTTACCTCTAGATTACACAGTTGGATATGACAGTTCGTCAACATAGGGGAGAGATGGAACAACAAATAATTCATTTAGAGTGTAATATAGAGAAATCAGAGCTTGAAATTAAGGAATGCCATAAGCAGGTAATTCATGCTTAAATTTAAAACCCTGTTCCCCTAACAAAGAGCAGCTATTTCTATGGGAAAGTCTGGTCCTGGGAGAGAATGGATAGCCAGGTTTAATCTGGTTCCTTGTTGTAGGGAGAGGGAAGGCAGTACCTTAATAATGTACCAGCAAAAATATTTCACGTTTGTCAGCTAAAAAAAAAATACTAAAAAATTTGCAGGGATATGCCAGTATAAAAATGAAAATGTTTTTTTTTATGTGGTGTAGCTCTCAACCACTCTTTTAATAGGAAAATGTTGAGAAAACAAAAATAAAATTTAAAAATTACAAGGGAATTTCAAGTCAGAGGTAATACTGATGATATTCATGAGCTTTGTTTGGCATTGATTTTTTTAAATTGTTCTGATTTCCATAAAATACCTGATTTAATTGTATTTTCTGTTCAGATTGAGAGCTTAGAAAAGAAACTCCAGCATTCTAAAGATGAGCTTCGTGAAAAAGAGTTTGAGTTGCTTCAGAGAGATCAAGAAATAAATCAGCTGAAGAAAAAAGTTGAAAGAAAACAAGAGCCTAGAAGCTCTTGAAAAGGTAAACTGTTCCTTGGGTGCACAAGAAATTAAAATTTTTAATGCTGTTACTGTAATTGCCTAGAAGGAACAACATGGTGTCTCTTTAGAAGGAATGTCTTTAATTCTTCCCAAGTAATTGTATTTTATATCCTGGTATTTGCTGAATGTTAATCCCCTAAAGTTAAACCAGTGTAATTATTTAAAAATTACAGATTTAATGGCATGCTCTTAATTGTCTGCTTTGTGGAGGCATTTGAATATTGATTGTCTTTAGTAACCTGATGTTCTGGCTACAGACATGGTGTTCCTTGAAACAAAATGAAACAGTATGGTATGTGATGAGAGCTTCTTATGACTTAAGTATCTATTTTGTGAAAATAATTGCATTAAAAGACCACCAAGATCTAGCATGTTTTTAGGAATGAGAAGAGAGATTTAATTTTTTTTTGCTTAGTTAATGGAGACTGGAGACATACCTATAGAATAGAGAAGTAGCTGATTTATTTTATGAATGATACAAGTTTTTGGGTTGGGGTATGATTCAGTGACTACAAATAAAAATGCAATCTGAGATAAACAGGCTTCCTGCATAAGTAAGTTTATTCAAAGATGCTTGCCAGCTGGAGGTAAATGCCAAAACTGGAATGGCTCCTGCCATTTTGATTATGCTGCAATTGTATGTTACTTCTTTCC